CCACACCCACACCCACACCCACACCCACACCCACACCCACACCCACATCCACACCCACACCCACACCCACACCCACACCCACACCCACCCGCATCCCAATCCACTTTATTGGACCTTGCATCGTTACATTCCATCGAACAAGTCAATATTTTATTCATCGCCAGAACGAAATCTTCTCAGCGATCAAATTTTTCAAACATAGCCTTATCTTTATCACAATCTACTCCATCGTTATTTTCTCACTTGCATAAAGAAGAAGAAGAAAAAGAACAACAACACCTAGAAGAGCAAGAACATCATAGGGTAATGAAATCAATGCCTTCCAATTGATCCTCAAGACCGATATCATTAACAAATATGCGACGAAGTCAGAACAATCGAAGTAAATTATGCCTTTTACGTGAAGCAACTATGTTATAAGATCCCTATTTTGAATTATTATGACAAATGCAAAAAAACGATGCAATCCTTTGCTGAAACAGCTGACGGACAAACAACATTTCTTCGTTCATTACGCAACTAACTAAATTAAACCATCAAAAGATAATGATCATGAGCTTATTTCTATTAAACTTTCTTTTTCTTGTAGTGTAGTTTTGTATTTTAAAATGAATTCTTTATTAGTTCATTCGTTTTATTTGTTTTCTTTTATCTTTGCTAGGGCATAATTCATGTTTTCTTGAATATATACATCTTATTTAATGAAATCATGCATTTTTTTTGTTTAATCTTTTGGAATGTTCTAGATTTTTCATTGTGAATGATGATATGGAACAACATAAAAAAAAACAAGTCTGTATGTTCCACTAAAACGAATGGATTCAAATAGAATTTGTTTGGCATCCCTGAGTGGTATTCTTCATTAAAATATGTCATTAACCACAACTATCACTCCTACTGTTCTACTCACTTTGAAAAATTCGTTATTATGATCATTAAAGCGATTGTTTTTTTGTTGTTGTATTTCTTCTAGTTGCTTCTTTCTTTAGATAGTATGAGAAAATGTTGTTTTCTATCTCATATATTCACTATGTTTCTTACTTTATATTGTAGTGTACTAGGAATTTTTCGCTCTACACATTTTGTATTAGTTTAGCGAAGCTAGCGAACATACTTAAGTTTCACATCTGAGCTTCATTGGGGCTTCGCTAATAAGTTTTTTGTTTTCTAGATAGAAATATCGATAATATAGACTGTAATAAAGGTTCAATTAAAATGTCAGGTTCAAATGCTCAAGCTGGTTGGTATGAACCAGTTTCACAAATACAAGTACTCATTGAACAACAGCAAAACTCCGAGAACAACAAAAAGGAACTAAAGAAGAAGAAAAATTCCCGTGGTAATCGGCAACTTCAACTCTATAGAAGGAAATGTCGAGCACGAGGAATGAACGATCAAACCGTAAAAATGTTATTGACAATGCATCAAATCAATAATTCCATCGATCAAGCTCATCGGGAAACAGACCACGATGAAACGATGGATGATTTTTTTGTCAGAAATGCCAATAAGGATATTCAAGTGTCCATGTTCTATGTAAACCAAGTACGATCAAATGATGAATAAAAACAAACACGATGTTTTTCTTTTGTATAGAACCAAGGTAATAATTCATCACCTACAAGAACACATCAAAAAAAGAACAACCATTACGATTTACCTACAGATGATTGGAAACTGACATGCAAACTCTTGCCAAATTATAAGAACTTGTCCCATCATGAATTCAAACGTTTACTCTGCAAAACTATTCCAACGGATCATTATCAGATTTAACAATGGTTAGCAAGTACTGAAATGCTACAATTCTCACAACAACTTGCTATATTCATGTGTACTTCCTTTCACTTGAAAATCGAAGAAGACTATTGGCACTACATTGGCAATTCAAATATGCCTGTTGTGACTTGGTTATCGAAAGTATCGAAAGATGTAACAGAAAAAAATTTCATTAATTGGGATCACTCGAAAACAAAACTAAATATTCAATATCAACAAAATCTCATTCAAAATGAATTACAACGGATAGAAATTAATTTATACAATTATTTACAACGATATTCATCAAGCTTAAAAATGAACGATGATAAAATGTCTTTTGAACAATGGATAAATATCATATGCGATGCTCTTGTTGTTCTCATGCAAAATGATTTGCATCATTTCAATACAAATTTTGAACAGAAGAAAATCTTATTTACCTATGATATCAATGATGCACATCTCGTCAAATCATTCTATGATTTGAATCCAATAGAAGCACAGGTGAATATTTTATTTAGCCTAACTTTCTCTTATTCTTCTTCTTCTTCTCATAGGTTTATTCTACTCAACAAATTTGGCGATCAAAATTAAGAGCATGTGAGAAGGTCATTAGTCAACAAACGAAACGTTGGTCAATGAGTGATCAAGTTCTTGTTAAAGGAATAATTCCAGGTAATCGTTCAATAACAAATATGAAACAAAATGAATTCGACATTGATGGTAATAATCAAAAGAATCAATTATTATCTATGGAATGCTTTCCTCCTTCAATGCGTGCTATTATCCAAGCTCGTCTCGATAATATTGAACAACGTGCTCAACAAATTATAAAATTTATTCATGCTTCATCTCAAGAATAACGATCTGTTCCTTATTATAGATTTTACTGACTCTAGCATTTTGGACTGTTCATTTTAATCAATATTGTAGAATTTAGTCCCATTGTAACACTTCATTCATTTCTTTTTTTGTCATGTTTCATAGTTTGTTTTTCCAATAGTAAAAAAATTTATCTTCTGATGTTTTTTTTCTTTTTCCTTCTATTGGGTTGTCAACTAATTTTTGTCGTTTTTTTCTAAAACTTTCTAGAACATTCGAGAAAGTTCTAGAAGTTTCCATTCTATGGGTATATATATGGAGTGTGAATATCTTTCGAATGATAATAAAACTATCGATATGGACGTTGATCGTAAATTGGAAATGAATCTTTCTCATAGAGAGATTCGAGTGCTTTTACTTCATGAATTCCGTCTGGGTCGCAGAGCAACGGAAGCAACCAACAACATATGCAGCACGATGGGCGAGGATGTACTCTCCATCCGTACGGCACAACGTTGGTTCAATCGTTTTAAGAACGATAATTTTGAACTCGACGATTTACCTCACTCCGGTAGACCAATGGAACTGGATCTGGATCTTTTAAAGCAGCTTATCGAAGAAGATCCTCGATTGATTTTACGGTGTTTAGCAGAGCAGCTTGGGTGCTCTCATACTGCGGTGGAAAAACATCTGAACGAATTAGGCAAGACATGGAAATATGGAGTTTGGATACCTCACGAGTTATCACCACATCAGCTTCAACACAGGGTTGATGCTTGTATGGATTTAACGACATCTCATCGCAACTACCAATGGCTCCGCAATCTTGTCACTGGCGATGAGAAGCGGGTGTTATATATCAACTACACGCACAGGCGCCAGTGGTTAAGTGCTGGTCAAAAAGGCGTAGCAACACCTCAGACTGATTCATATCCCAAGAAGGTGATGCTGAGCGTTTGGTGGGGTGTCAATGGAATTATTCATTGGGAAATTCTTCCAAATGGATGCACTATCACTGCTGATCTCTACTGTCAACAATTAGACCGAGTTGCCGAAAAACTCAAGGGAAAGCAGGATAAAATTTATTATTTGCATGATAATGCCAGACCTCATATTGCAAAGTCGACCCGCGAAAAACTATTGAAGCTCGGATGGGTTACCGTTCCTCATCCACCTTATTCTCCTGACTTGGCTCCAACAGACTACCATTTGTTTCGTTCTCTTTCGAACCATTTACGTGAGAAAAAGTTCGACGATGAGAACGACATGAAAATGGAACTCGTCAACTTCTTCGATCAGAAATCCAAGGACTTCTACGAACGCGGGATCCTATCCCTGCCAGAACGTTGGCAACAAGTGATAGATAGTAGTGGTGAATATATATCTGAAAACTAGTTGTATCTTTGTAGTGGAAAAATAAAAATAAAATTTTTGAAAAAAACGACAAAAATTAGTTGACAACCCAATAGATATCACTTTCAGAATTTTATTTTTATTTTCTTGTCTCTCGTTCGATCTCAAATGGCGATGATAACATCAAATCTCAATTCTAATGAAACTATTGCTCGCCGTAGTACGGTTTCTGAAGCAAAAGTAAGACAGAAGAATAACAAAGATCTTTCTGATCTATGAACAACGATTTTCTTCTTACCTAGTCAACGAAGAATTCTTATCACAAGAGCTTGATCAATTTTCACCTTTTAAAACTAATTCAACGAAAAAACAAATAACGAGATTTCCCATAGAAATCATACTTTCGAAAGCAATTGGTCGTGAATGGCAATACATAGCCGACTATCTTTGTTCGAAAAATCCAACTTTTGAAAAGAAACTTCGGACAATTTTACCATCAACGATGAATTAAGATGAATTAAGAGATATTGCTATTCTCATGCATAAAATTATGCCGACTGACATAGTACAATCTCTCTGGATAGCCTATCGAAAATACGGTATGGAAGAAGTGCAATACAAACGACCAATCAATGTATCCGATACAAAACTTTGGCGAAAAGAAGCTTTATCACTGATGGAACAGTTAAAAAATGCTAATATTATTGATAAAAGTAGCTGTTTCATTTTCGCCAATCAATATTTACAAGAATTGCACAATAAAAACGAAAACTATCGACATGAATTAAATCTCAAGACTAAACGTTTATCTGGTTATAGCCGTAGCATGGAATATACGATGGAAAAATTTGTACAACAAGGACTTCAATCTTTCCGCATTGAAATGAATGCTCAATTGGAGAAACCCAAATATCCTCGTGCATAAACCATCATATACGACTATCAAATGGCTGACAAATCATCTCATATCCAATTCCCATAAGACTAAATTCAAAGGAAAGAATTTAACTGTAATACCACACTCATGAATGCAATAAGATGCTACCAGGCTCGCTATCTTTCACCTATCAAAATTGTTAAAATAATTCTTCAAAAATACATATAACTAATTGGCATTTGACAAGAGTTGCTTGAAAAAATCCAACTGCTACATATTTAGTATCGTGTCCACTATTCATACCCATTACGTGTTAAACATTCTACTTTCCAGTAAAATCACTACAAAATATTTAGTATTTCATTAAAAGATTTCATTTTATTTTTCAATAATCAATAAAAATATGTGACACTTGATAAGATTTCCTTAAAAAAACAAGATACTCACTTTTTAGTATTGTGGTACGTGTTCATACCCATACCCTAGCCAAACTTACCTGAGGATGGCCCTTAAGCAAGGCCGAAACCGGTCGTAAGACTAGCTTGTGCTATTAAATGAATTTCATTTCTATACACACCCGTATATTCTTGAATTTCTATGTTCTTGAATATAAACTTAGTTGCGAACTCTCTTATTTCTGAAAATTTTGGCTTCTCTCTGCCGAAATTATTAGAAATAATTGTGATCCTTCTAGAAAATATTGATCGATAGTTATAGAGGTTTTGTCGTCTCTGCTTAACTTCTATTACTATCTCGTTTTTCTAGATTAGAATCGAACTGCAGCACTTTAAAATTTAATAGCCAAACTTACCTGAGGCTGGCCCTTAAGCAAGGCCGAAACCGGTCGTAAGACTAGCTTGTGCTATTAAATGAATTTCATTTCTATACACACCCCACACCCACACCCACACCCACCCTGTGTGGGTGTGGATGTGGGTGTGGGTGTGGGTGTGTTGGTCGGGGTATGGATTAGAATAGTATTCACGCTCACCCTCATGCGCACCACCCATCCACACTCAATTCCACACCCACACCCAGCCACACCCACACCATACGCACACCCACATTCTTGCACCCGTATCCAGACCTTACACGGACGCACACGCAGATCCACGCTGTGATACCCACATCCCCACCTGCACCACCACGCACACCATTGTGTGCATTATTTCATACTATTCGTTACTGTATTTGCGGGTAAAAACCCATTACTGTGATGAGAGAAAGTGTTTTTTTTTCTTTTTTACGGACGTCTTTTATTCGATAAACATTCACAAGTGAAACAGAATTGTGCAATCAGTTGTTTACGTTTGGTGCAGTACACCAACGACCTTGAGAGTCTGTTTATATGCACGACCGGAACGAGTGAATTGCGCACGTCGTTATTCGAGATTTTTCTTTCTTGAACAGAAAAATATTTGCCTAGGATGAAAAATAGTCACTAGCAGAGAGCAACTTCGTATAAAAGGTATAAAACCCAACATCATATAGTCACATTTTGCTTATTCTATTTTTAAAGCAACCAACTTTTCCGAGTAAAGTAAGACTTCCGTTGTTTGAGTTTGGTGATTTTTCGATCGTGTTTAGTTTTTGGGATAAAGCTTGTCCTTTTCTGTGTTTCATTTCGATGACTATCCAATATGTTCCAGAACGGGCTTTCCAACGACCCGATACGGTCGTAAACGGCCTTATAAAAATAATAGTAATAATGTCCCATAGATTCATCACCCGTTGAGGCCAACCGCAGTTGTGTTCGATTTTCTCCACCGTTTTCTTTTATGGGCTAGTTGAAACAAGTCTTGGGGCTTAAGATTACACGACTCAGTGACGTCATCTAGCCATTCCTTACACGGTCTTCCTCTCTTGGATTTACTTTCCATTGTCAGAAACAGTGTTTGTTGTAGGAGTCTGCTGTCATTCATCCTACAGATGTGATCCAACAGCCTAAGTTTTCTTTTCATTATCATTTCTATGACAGTTTTTTGTGTCTTTAGTTCCGTTCTGGTGTCGGAATTTTGTATCATATCTTTCTAGGTGGTTTGCGATATTCTCTGGTAGCACTTCATCTCGAATGCTAGTCGTTTTCTTTTATTTACTCGTTTTAATTTCCATATTTCTGAACCATGCAAAAGCACACTGAAGACGCACGTCTTGAGAACCCTGATCTTGTTCTCTGTTCTAAGCTTTTCATTTCTCCATACGTTTCAAAGAAGACAGTGGTCCAACTGTTTTGGCAACTCTTTGTTTAATGTCTTCCGAGCAGTCATTGTCCCATGTTATCCGACTTCCAAGGTATTCATATTTTCCGACATTATCGATAGTTTCGCCAGCAATATGAGCATGTTTATCGATGTTTTGTAACCGAATACCACCGTCTTTGTTTTTCGTATGTTTATTTTTAATCCTGCTTTCTCGACAGTTTCTTTTACTTTTCGGATTTGCTGATAGAGTGATTCACATTCCTCAGTTAGAAGATTATTGTCATCTGCGAATCGCAGAGTATTTATTACAGCTCTCCTCGTATTAGGGATGCAACAGATCTTGAGATAGATTTGGACTTGTAGCCTACGTCTAAACATAGGTTTGGGTTTGGAGGTTTAGGTTTGGACTTGGTTTGTATTTGTTCATCGTTTGCGCAATTCCAAAAGATTTGGTAAGATATGGTGTCATTAACAACAGTTCACTGTACTAGAGATAGAATAGAATCAGAAAAAGATTTTGGCATCCAGAACCAAATCCAAAGTCAAATACAAACGGTGTGAGACGAAACCCTAAAATCTTTTTTTTTGCTTCTAATCTATCCATAGTAGG